GCGGAGCAGCTGGTGATGCCAGTGGCCCTGCAGTGAGTGGTTTTATTCAGGAGTTAGGTGTGAGCTGTCTCTAAGGCTTGGCAAAGATGTAAGGCTGACCTCCACACACACCTGAGGTTTGCTGGCTGTTTGCAGGTGACAATCTCCAATAGGCTCGTGTCTTCGCCCTGCTGCATCGTGACCAGCACCTACGGCTGGACAGCCAACATGGAGCGGATCATGAAGGCCCAGGCACTTCGAGACAACTCTACCATGGGCTACATGATGGCCAAGAAGCACCTGGAGATCAATCCCGACCACCCCATCGTGGAGACGCTGAGGCAGAAGGCCGAGGCGGATAAGAACGACAAGGCAGTCAAGGATCTGGTGGTGCTGCTCTTTGAAACTGCGCTGCTGTCCTCCGGCTTCTCCCTGGAGGATCCCCAGACCCACTCCAACCGCATCTATCGCATGATCAAGCTAGGCCTAGGTATGGAGTGAGCAGTGCCTGGGTTCCGGGTGGGGACACCCTTCCCTCCCTCCGTGCTGTGTGGTTGGAACCTCCTATTTTCTGTTTCCTAGGCATTGATGAGGATGAGGTGGCAGCAGAGGAACCCAGCGCAGCTGTTCCGGAGGAGATCCCCCCTCTCGAGGGAGATGAGGACGCCTCCCGCATGGAAGAAGTAGACTAGGAACTCCTCGGAAACTCCTGCCCTCTGTATAGTGTCCCCGTGGCTCCCCTGCTGATGTCTAGTGGTCTCTCTCCTGTCCTGTGTCTTATGGCAGGAAACAAAGGCCTCAAGCCCCATCCCCTCCTTAATTTGACAATGGGGTTGGATGTTGTGTATTGTGGTTTTTTTTTGTTTATTTTGTTCTGAAATTAAAGTATGCAAAATAAAGATGACGCCGTTTTATACAGTTCTGCTCTCCCTTGTAAAGTGGATGCACTGCTTTTGGTGTCCAGCAGTTGTGAGCACAGAGGGCTGTGCTGGTGTTGCTCACCCCAAAGCTAAGGGGGTAGTGGGGGTGCCCACCCTGCAACCCTGTCCTCCCAACCCCTTCAGTCACCTGACACACAGGACTTGTCCACTGCAGCAATTTAATAAAATTATAAAGAGCAAAACGACATTTCCAGAGTACCAAAGCCTGCACTAGCTCACGGAGCCAGCTCCCTCAGCACCCTGTCACCCGCCTTGAAAAGCAGCACTTGGCGCCCCAAACACTTGTGCTGTGCTTTTCCCCACAGTTAAACGCAGGTGTGGGAGGGAAGTCCCCGATGTAGGGGCTAAGCACAGGTGAAGCGCTGGTGACAACAGGTAGGCTCGACACCCCCCCCAAGCCCCTCAGGAGGGCTGTCAACAGGTGACTTAAGGCCAAGGGGAAGTCTGCCTCGGGCTCCCGCCCGCCAGCTGCACATTTTGCCCTAGAGCCAGCGCCACCAAGTAGAGGAGAGCCTGGGTGGTGGGCGGGGCCCCTCCTGCCTCAAACCTGCTGCACTGGGGCCTCCCCAGGCACCACCTTCTTTCCCCTCTGCTTTAGTCGCCCCCGGGCGTAGACTCTGAGCAGGAGCGCAGCGAAGACCACAGCCACCCCCAGCCCGCCCACCACAGTGACCGTGTGGCCATAGAGGAGGCAGGAGAGGAGGATGGCAAAGGCCTGGCGCAGGGTCATGATGATGGTGAAGACCGCCGCCCCGAACTGGCCGATGGTGTAGAAGATGAAGAGCTGGCCGCAGGCTGAGCACACCGACAGCAGCAAGGCGTGGGCTGCAAACTCGCTGTGGCGCCCCATGAAGCGTGTCCCCTCCAGGAGGGCCCCCTGCTGCAGCAGAGAGCCGACCGTGAAGAGGCAGGAGAAGAGGTTGACGCCGAACATCATCTGCACCGATGACATCTTATAGGCAAACAGGGCATCCTGCCAGTTTGAGGTGAAGCTGTCGAAAGCAATGTAGCCTGCCAGCAAGATGAGGCCTGAGAGCGTGGTGGCCGGGGAGCTGCGGGGCTCAGGCCCGCTGGACAGCAGGAACATGCTGACCCCGACCGAGATGAGGCCGGCCGTCAAGTACTCCCAGTGTTCATAGCTGCGCCGGGACACCAGCTTCCCCATCAGCATGACCGGGATCACCTTGGAGGCCTTGGCCAGCACCTGGGTGGGGAAGCTGACGAACTTGAGCGCTTCATATTGGCACCAGCTGCTGAGCACATTGGAGAAGCTGGCAAAGGCGTACCGGTACATGGGCGCCCCGTGCCGGGGCTGCTTGCACAGGAGGCAGTAGAGGCCGGCCACGATCAGTGCCAGCACACGGTTCATTAGCACCAGGAACTGGGAGTCCGTGAAGCGCTCACCTGGCGACGTGGCAGTGGCCCCATAGCTTCGTGTCATCACCCTCTCCTGCAGCACACCCCAGGTCAGATAGGACACCTGGGAGGGGAAGGCGGGGACAGGACACAGTAAGCAAAGGCAAGGCTCAGCTGCCCCCTTCCAGGGGACGGCTACGCGACAGAAGGGACAGCACCTTTTGAGACTTCTCTGCGCTCCAGTGTGCAGGGAAAACTTCATTGGAACAAATGCTTTAGGGCCGCCCAGGCACTTCCTGTCCGCACGGATGGTACAAGGGTATGTTAAAGCTGACTCCACCCAAAGCAGTCTCCCAGCTAGATACTTTGAACCAATTCAGGTCGGGAGAGGCTCGGTCGCTCCCAGTGCCGTCCCACCGGCGTATGGGGGGTGGGGCTGGTCCCCAAGCCACAACTGTGGCCAGGTCCCTTATCTTAGCGCTCCTGGAGTACAGTGCTGGGGGAAGGCTGCATGGCTCCCCCAGGCTCCCATCGGGGGCTCACAGCACAGGACATGCAGCGGCCCAGGGCAAATCAGAAAAAAAAGAGGTTACACGAGGCCCGTCTTCAGTACTAGATACCCCAAAGCCACGGCGGCAGTGTTGGCAAGGCGCACAGGGACGAGGGAAGGAGGTGGGGCAGGGAACCCACCAACCAGCCAACCATCGGGACCAGTAGGGTGAAAAACCTGGTTTCACACTCCCTGCCCATTGGAACCCGGCCAGGAAGAAGAGCAAGCAGGCCCTGCCCACGTACCTGGAGCCCCGAGGCACAGAAGAGCAGCTTCAGGGCCTGCCAAGTGGGGGTGGTCTCTGCTGTCTCCGGCCGCGGAGCCAGGGGAACCTCATCAGAGGCCTTGGGCTCATTGCCAAACACACAAGCTTTCACCAGGGGGAAGCAGAGACCCCTGCCTGAAGAAGGCACACACAGTCAGGTCCCAAACCTTCTTCACAGCACCTGTCTTGCCCAGAGCAACCAGCCCGTCCTGCCTCCCCGCCTCCCCTCCCGGTGCAGCGCTGGCCAGCAACCTACAACCTGGGCCCAAGCCATGTCCCCACCCTTTCTTCACACACCTGTCTCCAGGTAGTTCTTCCGCTTGAAGTACTGCACCAGAAGGTAGCCAGGTACCATAAAGCTGGCATAGCCAGCAGCATTCACCAAAAAGCGGAAGAACCATAGCTGGGTCCAGGACTCCGGAGGGGCTTCGGGGGTCTCCCCACCTGCGCCCAAGGCGGGGAGCGCGGCCAGCACCAGCACGGCCCACCACCTGCTGGGAGAGCCGACACCAGGGTTAGGGCGCGCTTCTTCATTCCCTCGGCCCTGCAGAGGGGGCCACGCTGGAGACAGGCCCAGTCTCCTCCCCGCCCCCCTCCACCGCAGCCCAGCCCGGACAAAGAGCCTCTCTCTCGGGGGGTTCGGCGAGAGCCAGGCAGGGCCTCCTCTTTCCCGGGGGGCGGACCCGCCTCTCCGGTCACACAGGTCTCCTCTGTTCCCTCCAGCGCCCGCCGGCTGTTCAGGCCAGAGGCGGCGCCCCCTCCCCCCACCACGCCACCCCCACGTTCCCGGGGCGCCAGGGTCCCCAGCCCCGCCGCCTGACACTCCCGCAGCCCCCCAGGGAGCACAAGCCCACGCCGCGGCCCCGACCCGCGCCGGCTCCGAACAGCGCTCTGCGGGCCGGCAGCGGGGGACCCCACCCGGCCCCCCGAGCCGAGGCGCGGCAGTCACGTGGCCCGGGGGCTCGGTCACGTGGGCCGGCCGCTGCCCTAGCCCCCCACCTGGGGTCCATGGTCCGGGCCGCGTGGGGCGGAGGGGGACCGGGGAATGGAGTCCCCGGGCCGCGCTCGCCCTCCGCTCCCGCCGCCGCCGCCTCCGGGAGCAGCCAGTGAGCTAGCGGCTAGCGGAAGTGCCGCGCTCTTCCCGCCTCCCTCCCCGCGGCCGCCCTCCGCCCCCTGCCGCGACCACGCAGCGCCCGCGGCCGCCGCCGGCTCACAGCGCCCCCGTGCGGCCCGGAGGCAGCCTCGGCTCGGTTCCCCGGAGCCGGCGGGGCTGAGAGCCCCAGCCCTGGAGGGGTGTCCGTGGCCTCGGCGGCGTCATCGCCCTTCGCGCTCACGCTGCGACTCTGCGTGCCAACAAGCACTGAGCCTCATGTGAGCGTTCCCGCTTTCGGACGGCACGGGGAGATGGCCTGCTTTTTGCGGCCGGCACCCAAGTTCTGCGGTCCCACTCCCCGGGACCTCCGTGGCACGCCGTGACCCGTCTTGGCTTCCTCGCCCACCCCTTCTTTAAGACACCAGAGGCCTTCCCCATGCAGTGCGCCCATCCGTGCGCCTCTCAGAGGGCTGAGAGGATAAGCACACCTAAGTCGGCTTTCTCAGCAGGTGCTGGCAGCTTGGGGAGCTGCAGTGAGGGCCCATAAAGGCCCCCCTAGCACGTGGAATGGGAGAAAAGCCCTTTTCCCTGTGCCCAGCTTCCCCTTCTCCCCGGGTTGCTTCAGATGCCCCGCGCCCCCCACCCTCCATTTCTCCTCCCCCTAACCCCCTCAGCACGTTCACAGCCAGGACAAGCCCCCAAACTTCACCCGGCAAGGCCCCACCGGGCTCTGGGCTCTGGGCCCTGGGCCCTTCTAAAAGTCCCCGGCGGCGCATACAGCCATGCACGTGCACAGAACGACTCTGGCAGGGAAAATCTTTCAAAAAGTCTGCATTTAGTGTCATGTTACTGAAACTGCCCTTCCCCGATGCTCAGTTCAGGGCCTTGGGTGGGAAGTCTTTAAGCAAATGTTGGAGCCCTCAGGGCCTGCTGGCTGCTGGGTCTCTCTGTCTCTCGCCAGAGTCCATGTCTTCCCATTGGCCGGCAGTTTCAGGCCCGCCCAACGGGAGCAGGAACAGGAACCACAGCCCCCACCCCGCAGGCGAGGGAGGCTAAGGGGCTTCACCCAGGACACCTGGGGCTTTGGGGCTCTTCCAGGAACCCCCATCCACCTTGGAATCTCTTCCTCCCAGACTGGCTCGCGCTCTCACTGGCAATCCTCCTCTGCTCGGACTGCCCTGGCCCCTGGCTCTGGCCCCAGCAGGGCCTAGGACCCCAGAGGGGTCTGGGTCTGCATGTGGTCTGGGCTCCAGCTGCAGCAGTGGTGGTCCCAGGTTCCCGGGGCCGCGGATCCTGCCCGGGCTTCAGTCAGCACACAGCAGCGGCTTCCCTGAGATCTTGAGGTCATCAAAGGGCAACAGAGTAAGGGGCTGAGAAAGAAAGCAGAGAAGCAAGATCAGAGGCCCAGAGGCCCTGGGGAAAGGCGTGGGGGGAGGTGACCTAGGGGAACCTGCTGGGCCGCTCCCTCCCTGCCAAAAGACAGCTGAAGACCAAGGAACAGGTCTTCAGAGAATTCCCCAAGCAGCTGGCCCCTCTGGGCAGAGCCCTGAGGCCTTCGGCAAGCTGAGGCCTTGGGCAAGCTAATGCCAGAGCTGGGAGGGACATCAGAGCCGGCCCATTGAGCTTTCCTTGGCTGCTTTTGGGGGTAGGGGAGTGCTCAGAAAACATTTTGACTATCTTTCTACATTGAACTTTTGTTCCCACCGTAGGTGAATGGCAGAGTCCTGGTTTCACGGCAGGCCCTTTGGGCTAATGCACCTGTCTCTGCTGTCAGTGGGGGCGGCCCTAGAGAGCGGAGTGAGGGCAGCCCTAGAGAGCGGAGCGGAACGCACGCCTCTTACATCCTCAGCGAGGTCCTGGGGCGTCTCGTCCTCCACGTTCCTCAGCAGGGAGTCGGCGCCCGCCTCGCACAGCGTGGCTGATATGCCGCCGAGGCCCCGGCCGGCTGCCAGGTGCAGGGGCGTGCAGCCGTTGAGCATACGGGCGTCTACTCGGGCCCCGGCCTGCAGCAGGAACTGCACCAGGCCCCGCTCCTGGGTTTCCACGGCCAGGTGCAGCGCTGTCTTCCCACTGGTGCCCTCCTGCAGGGGGAGGAAGGGTGTCAGCATGCCGGGCTGGGCTCTTGATGAAGTTGGGCGTGCCAGCACACAGGTTGGGGCAGGGCTGTGGGCCCCCCCGCAGCACCTCACCTGTGCGTCAATGTCGGCTCCGTTCTGAAGCAGTAGCTCCATGAGTGGCTGGTTCCTCTGCAGGGTGGCGATGTGGAGACAGGCCAGCCCTGGGATGGGGGAGGGTACTGCTGATCTTCAGCCACCACTCTCACCCTCCACCCCCCCAGGCCCCAAGGGACCCACTGCTCACTCGGTGCCTCTAATCACAGGACCGTTAAAATGCACACCAAAAACTCCCTCAAAAGTCTGAGGGGGAAAGGAACTCAAAGTTTCCAGCTTTTCAGTCATGTTATTGAAACCTTCATGCTTCAGGGGGCAGGCTGCTGAGTGCCGCCCCCGGACGCACGCCCCCTCCACACACACACACACACACACACACACACTGCACCTGCTTTCAGGCCAGGCTGAGGCCACATCTCTGAGAGTCTCTCAGGGATCCCCGGCTCCCAGCCCTCCCCAGGCCCTGTCTCCTTCTGCCTGTAGCCTCCCGCCCTTTGTGCTACTGCCTCCTGCCGGGCTGGACCCCACCTCTGCTCAGCGTACGTCCTCCACCCCTACAAGTCTCTGATCAGATGTCCCTGGCTCCGCGATGCCCTCCCTGACCATCCAATTGTCAAAGCACATCCAGGGGGCTGGCACAGAGGCACAGTAGGTTAAGCCAGTGCCTGCAGTGCCGGCATCCCACAGGGGCGCTGGTTTGAGCCCTGGCTGCTCCACTTCCATTCCAGCTCCCTGATAATGCACCTGGGAAAGCAGTGGAAGGTGGCACAAGTCCTTGGGCCCCTGCACCCATGTGGGAGACCTAGAGGAAACTCCTGGCTTCAGATCAGCCCAGCTCCAGCCACTGCAGCCAACTGGGGAGTGAACCAGCAGATGGAAGACCTCTCTTTCTCTCTTCTCCCTTCTCTTTCTCTCTTCTGCTCCCTCTATAACTCTGCCTTTCAAATAAATGAATAAAATCTTCAAAAGGAAAAGCACACATCCACTCTCCAGCCCCCTCATCGCAGCCCCTTTCCCTCTGCTCTGCTCTGCCAGCGCTCACTTCCCTGACTGTAGCTGTACCCTCCAGTTAGGTTTGCTGGTTTGCTGCCAGTGGCACACTGGCTCTGCTGGCTCCCAGGTGTAATCGCTCCCAGGATAGTGTTGGGGGTGCCTGGAAGGGCCCTTGGGACGTTTCTGGTGTATGAGTGAATGAGTCCTCATGACCTCTGGGAAGCTGAACTCTTAAGGGCCAAGATCCACCTTTCTGATCAGCACACGACAAGCGGGGGATAAACTCTAAATCCAACCATTCACTCATCCCTTCCTTCAGTACCTATGTGCTTGGAGCCAGCGGGGTGGGGTGGGGAAATCTGCAGACAGCAGGGGGCCCCTCCCCTCCCCCCTCCTGTCCCCGGGACTGCCCGCACCTTGCCAGTTCTGCAGCTGGAGATCCAGGGAGTGAGGCGGTCCTCTTCCTGGTTCCGGCTGGCCCTCCAGCAGGCAGCGGGCACAGGCCAGGTGCTGGCGCTGGCAGGCCACATGCAGGGCCGTGTCACCGTGCCGGTCCTGCAGCACCCTGCTGGCCCCCTTCAGCACCAGTGCCTGCACTGCGCCCGGCTGGTCCAGGTGCACGGCCAGATGGAGGGCCGTCTGTAGGCACAGACAGAGGGTCACCGGGGGCAGGCGCCTCCCTCGGGAATGTCTAGGGGGCCACCCTCTGTGAGAGCAGCTTACAGGTGCCACAGCCCTGGTCTTCCAAGGAAATACTACCAAGTCTTCCCTGCATCAGCCCCCCACCAAGTTCCAGGACTCCAGTTTGGGAAGCAGGGTGAGGTCCTCTGCTCTTCTTGTGGGTCCCCATTAGCCTCCAGAGCCAGAACACATGGGGACAGACTCTAGCCCCTCCCACTGTGGGGAAACCCCTGGGCAGGAAACAGGGCTTAGTTTGAGGTTGGAAAGATGGGGGCATCAGGCAGTTTCTACATGGCAAATGCCTCTTTGAAGACTCCACTTAGAAGCCACCTCCTGTGGCTGGTGGCACCCCCTGGCTGCTTCACGTGACACCCCCCCTTCTTCCCCCGTCACCGAGCTGCGTGGCTGGAGTCCCCAGCCTGGGCTGAGGGCACTGTGGGTAGAGGCTGTGCCTTATGCATCACCAGCCCCAGCTCCTCGCTCTGTGGCTGGCACTGGGTTACCCGCGCGAGCGGCCAGGGCAGACGTGGGCACCTGAGCACTGGCCCTCCTCCCCACCCACCTGGTAAAGGTTGTTCTGAATGTCCAGGACCTCCTGTGGCAGCAGAGCCAGGCAGCACAGCAGCACGGCGGGGGCTTCGTGGATCACTGCCAGGTGTACCAGCCTGGAGGAGCAGCGCAGGGCTCAGGGTCAGGGCCCGGGCCGGGGCCGGGGCCGGGGGTGGGGTCTGGGGACTCGGTACAGAAGGCACACAGCAGCCTCTAACTAGCTACCCACGGGGTAGGTGCAGGAAGTGAGACTTTGAGCCAGGAAGTGAGGGTTGGTGTGGAAAGCCAGAATCCCGTGGGTGGGAGCTCCAAGTTCCCATCCCTGGCCTTCAGGAAGGCTTTGGCTGGGTGGGCACGTGGGCAGGGTGCTGACGGCACAAGGGCCTTCCTGTCCGGCCTGCCCACACCCCACTCTCCTCTGCCCCCGGGGCCCTGCCCGGCCAGCTGCTGCTCCGGGGCAAACTGAAAGCGGCCGGCCTGGTGAAGAGGGGGTTTTCCACAGCCCAGCGCCCCACCTCCTCTCCCCAACAGGGAGGCCAGCGGGAGGCCGATGCGGGGTCCCACCCTGGCCTCTGGGTGTCACAGAGTCCCAGGGGAGGCAGCCAGCCCTGCTCCCACAGCACTGCCCAGAGACCCACCCCTGTGGCGTGCACCACCAAGGGGAGGGCTGGGCAGTGCACAAAGTGTGTGGCAGGGGCAGGCAGGCGGGGGCCCAGAGCTTCTGCCCCGGGGTGAGGGGGGCGGCTGCAGGGGAAGTTCCAGTCCTGGGGTTTCCCCACATCAGGTGGGGAAAATGAAAGCGGAGCTGGAGGGTCTCAGCCAGGACAGCTGCCTCAGGCACGAGCCAGGGGAGTAGCTGCCTGGGCTGGGGAGGGGGCTGCTCAGGCAGGAGGGGCCAGGCTTTGGCCCAGGACAGAGTGAGAGGGAGGCAGCAACGGCTCTGGAAATCCCCTCGGCCAGGGCCTGCCCTCTGGGTCACATTCCTGCAGCCACCTCCCTTCTTCCCTGCAGCTCCCCGCCCCCTGCCCCCTCCCACTTCCTTTTCCCACTTCCACACCTCCTGCGGCCCAGACACCTCCAAGGCAGGCAAGGGCCCCTCCTCTTCTTTGGTGGCCGCGCTGGGGAATCCTGACACTTGTCCCTCGGCTGGACCCAGCACCTGGCGCTAGCCAGAGCTGGTAGAAAGGGTGGCGTTAGGCAGTGTCAGAAGGCTCCACTCCCTGGACCGAAGGTCAGCATGGAGCCACCAGCACCTTGGGGTGCTGGGCCTGGGGGCTGCTGATCCAGGCTCAGAGTCCCAAGAGGCCTGTGGTGATCTCTGTGAGTGTTCAGAAGTGCATCTCAAGGAGGCGAGACGGGACAGGAAGCTCCTGCCTCCCCTGCCCGTGCATCTCCGATCTGGACTCCAGCCCTCCCCTACTCCCCTCCCCAGTTTTGGAGTTCAAAATCCCGGCCACTCCCTCTTGTTGCTGGTTTTCTTCTTCTTCCTGGGGGCCAAGATCTTAACTGGCTTGTCCATCCCACCCTACAGCTGCTTCTAGTTCAACTGCCCCCTGTCCGAGTCCCCGCCAAATTCCACCTGGGCCCCGGGGAAGGGTAAAATGAGGGCGGAGCACAGCACACAGAGGGGGCTGGGGGGCTCAGGAGATGGAGGCTGAGAGGGAGTCTGGCTGGCTCCAGCCCTCACTTCCCCTTCGCCAACAGACAAGGAAGTAGGCCCGGGGCATCCAGCTGCCTGTGAGTCTGCTGGGGCCAGTGCCCCAGGCTAGCTCGTCCCCTCCTCCTTAGGGCCAGCCCCAACCCTAGCACCTAGCTTTCCCGGCCCTGACAGCAACCTGTAACTGGCACCTCTTGTTCCTTGAGACAGGGCATTCTGAGGTCAGGAGCAAACAAGGATGCCCCCTCCCCCAGCAAGAAAACAAAGCTGGACTGGTCAGGGGAATTCTCTCTTCCCAAGAGTGGGTTAGTGGTGATTTCCAAATGCTGGCCGCCTAGGTGAGGGCGTGCCAGCGCTGCCCATCCCCTACCAGGGGGCCGAGTTAGGTGTGGAGTGAGTTAGGAGCTAGGTGTGGACAGTGGGGCTGTCCCTCCCAGGGCGGGTGCCTGCAGGGTCCCCCCCCCCCCACCCAGGTGCAAGCCTAGCTCCCCCACTCACGTGTCTCCGTCTTCTGAGATGTAAGTGAGCGCTTCCAGCTGCTGAGGGCTCAGCGGCCCCGCGCGGGGCAGCGGCGAGCCTGGGGCCAGGGCCTCGGCCTCGGCTTCTGGGCCCCCCAGCAAGGACAGGGACTCCGTGAGCGAGGAGGAACCATAGGTGGAGTCAGCCCGCTCCCCGTCGGCGTCTTCCTTCTCCTGTGGCACCTTGGTGGTCCCCCGAGGATGGGTCCAGGGCTGGCGTCCGCCGCCGTCCGAGGGCGCAGCGGCTGAGGTCGGCGTGGGCTCGGGCAGGGAGCGCAGCGACCGCAGAGACTCTATGCCCGAGTCACACTGGCCCTCGTCCGCCTCGTCCGGCTCCTTGCGCGCCTCCGACATGCCCGCGGCGCCGGCCCGCGGGGCCCGGTGCGCGCAGGAGCTGGTGCCGACCCCGCCGCGCCGCCTTTCCGGGTCGCCGGTCCGCCTGGCAGAGCGCGCGCCCGGCCGCAGCGGCCTCGCTCCCGAGCCGCCGGAGTCCGAGGGGTCCGCGAGCGCCGGCGGGGTCCGCCGCAGCGGGTACCCTGGACAGCTGGACCGCCCAATCGGGTCCTCCCCGGGCCCCGCCCCTCGGGCCAACGAGGGAGCCGCGCGCCCGCCCCGCCCCCGACGGGCGCTTCCGGGCCGAGGCCCCGCCCCTCCGGAATCCCCCTTTCCGCGCGGCGTGCGTAGGTTCGGGGTCTGTGGTTAGCCGGTCCTGACTCACTGCTCCGGGGACGAATTCGGCCGGCCGGGCGGTCGTGTGTCTGTGCGTCCGTCCGTCCGTCCACTCCTTTTTCCTTCTCCATTCTGCGTCTTCATTGCATCCATTCATTCTGTCCTAAACTTCTGTGCCTTGATCCGCTGGTTTGATTTAGGGGGATGTTTCTTGGTCGTCTCCACGGGCTGGGCTGCTGCTGGTGGGGTGGGTATGCGGCTGGTGGGATGGGCAGGCGTGGCTTCCTCCCGTTTCTCTCCATTTCCCTTGCTTTCTCATCTTTCCTTATTAGGACCCAGGAGTCTGGGACGGGAGGGGGAGAGGGCACCTGTTATCCTAACGGAACGGGGTGGGGGGGCAGTTTTTCCTTGGGGTCCCTGTGTCGGTTCCCCAGGTCACGTGGATCGGGCATGGCGAAGTGCTTTTGCAGAGTGAGCTTTCGCAGGCCGACTCTTGTCTGAGCAGCATAGCGGGGCAGGGGGTTTCTGGCCTCAGGCGGTTACAGCGTCTGGTTACCCCTCGCGGTCAGGGACGTTTAGTTCCTCGTGGTGGGGCCAGGATGGGGAGGCCCCAGACATGCCGGGCTGCACTCTGCTGAGGTCTCCACCCCGCCCCAATCCCAGCCCCCACGACATCTGAGCTCCTTCTCTGTCCCTGCTTTCCCAGGCCGGGGCGCCACCCACAGGTGAGCCCCAAACAGGTGCCCCATGATTTACTCCTTTGTTGCTTCTTCCTGCTCCCAGTGCACTGCCAGCCTAGGGCCAGCGATGCCCGTAGGGTCTCATCAAGGACAGGTCCACCACTCTCCATCTCTGGCAGTGGGGAAGCAAGCTGGGGTGGGTGTCGTGGGCACTTGTCCACTCAGCCACGGGACAGCCATGGACAGAGTTTCTGCGTGGCTGGAGGTGGAACCAACTGTCACAGCAATGACCAAGGACCTTCACGCCCATCTGCAAAACACCTCCCACCCCCTCCCTGTCCTCACAAAGCCCCCCTGGCAATTCCAACAGAGGGTGGCTGTGCTAAGACCACAGTGAGAACAGCTGTTGTGGGGACACAGAGTGGGGCCAAGCCACCCACTGGAGTGAGGGGCTGGGAAGCTTCCCTGGGAACAGAAATGGGAAGGGAAGTGGTGGGGGCAGGGTGGGGGGGTAGAGGCTTCCCCAGAGTTTTGCATCCCCTGGAGGACCGGAGTGGGAGGATGTGTCAGCATGAGACAGCCAGGAGCCCCGGATGGGGAGAAAGCCCCAGGAAGCCATGTCCCTCCCTCCCTTGGGGTCACTGATTTCAGATGTCCTCAGCCTCCTTCCCTGACGTGTTTCTCTCCTAGACTCAAAAGCTGGAGCAGGACCCAGCGTTCAGCCTGGTGGTTAAAATACGGGTTGCCCACATCCCGCAGCAGAGTGCTTGGGTTCAAGTCCCAGCTCCATTCCCAGTCCCCTGGGAGGCAGCAGCAGGTGCCCAGGGAGCAGGTAGCTGGCTCCCTGCCGACCATATGGGAGTCCTGGATTGATTTCAGGCTTTGGCCTGACCCAGCACTGGCTGCTGCCAGCATTTGGGGAAAGACCCAGCAGATGGAAGCTTTCTCTCCCTTTCTCTCTGTCTGCCTCTTAAGTAAATTAAAAAAATCTATTTATGATTGTCAACTTGAAGGGCAAAGCAACACAGAGAGGGGGAGGGGAAAAGATAGAGCTATCTTTCATCTGCTGATTCATTTCCCAAATGCCCACAATGGCCAGGGCTGATCTGAACTCCAAGCCTGGTCTCTCACATGGGTGGCAGAGGCCCAAGAACCTGAGTCATCTGTTGCCTCCCAAGATGCAATAGCAGGAAGCTGTATCAGAAACAGAGTAGCTGGGACTGGAACTGACACTGATATGGGTGGGTGTTGCACGAGCAATGGCTTAATCCACTGGCCCACAACACATGCCCATGCCCCTCAAATACATTTTTTTGAAAGGCAGAGCTAGAGAGAGACAGAAAAGGAGGTCTTCCATATGCTGGTTCACTCCCCAAATGGCCACAATGGCCAGGGCTGGGCCAGGTGGAAACCAGGAGCCAGGAGCTTCTTCTGGGTTTCCCACATGGGAACAAGGGCCCAAGCACTTGGGCCATCTTCATCTGCTTTCCCAGGTGCATTAGAAGGGACCTGGATCAGAAGTGGAGCAGCTGGGACATAAACCAGTGCCAGTATGGGATGCTGGTACTGGGTGGCAGCTTAACCCACTATGCCACAACACCAGCCCCAATACATTTTTTAAAAAAGCATTACTTATTCTTTTTGACAGGCAGAGTAGACAGTGAGAGAGAAAAAAGTATTACTTATTTTAAAGTCAGAGTTTTATTTATATATTCTATCTGCTGGTTCACTCCCCAAATGGCCCAGTGGCCAGAGCTGGGCCAGGTCGAAGCTGGGAGCCTAGAACTCCATTCAGGATTCCCACATGAGTGGCAGGGGCCCAAGCATGGGGACTATCTTCTGTTGCTTTCCCAGGCATATTAGCAGGGAGCTGAATCAGAGGTGGAACAGCAGAGTTGGCGCTGTGGCACATTGGATTAAAGCCCTGGCCTGAACCACCGGCATCCCATATGGGTGCTGGTTCCAGCCCCACTGCTCCACTTCCAATCCAGCTCTCTGCTATGGCCTGGGAAAGCAGCAGAGGATGGCCCAAGTGCTTGGGCCCCTGCCCCTACTTAGGAGACCCAGAGAAAGCTCCTGGCTCCTGGCTTCTGAACAGCTCAACTCTGGTCATTGCAGCCATTTAGGGGAGTGAACCAGCAGGTGGAAGACCTCTCTCTTTCTCTCTCTCTCTTTCAAATAAATAATTTTTTTTGAATCAGTGCTCTTATGGGATGCTGACATCACAGGTGGTGGCTTAACACTACCCCTCAAATAAAATTAAAAATTTGTTTTTCTTAAAGTAAAAGTACTGCCACAAACCCCAGACCCAGACTACTTGGGTTCAAAACCTGGCGTGACCACTCCCACCAGAGAGGTGAGCTGACTTGCTCAAGATTCAACAGGAGGTGCAGAGCTGGGGTCTTCTGATCTGATCCAAAGCTTTTTCAGTGAACCCTTTCCTTAGCAAAATCTAAACCACACGAGGCAGGCATCTGAGCCCTCTGCAGGTACACAAGAACTCAGGAGGGTGCAATGACCGCCATTCTAATTCCTACAGAGGCTGAAGTCAAGGAAAAATCCATCCCAAGCCAGACTAATAATGTCTGGCTCTGAGCTATAACAGGTGTGTGGCAGTCCCCTCTCCCACCACATGAGGTCAGCATCGAGTCACCCACGGCTTCTAGCACCAGTGCCTCCCCTATTATCAGGGAGCTCTCCTGTCAATCCAGGACTGGGGAGACAGACCATGGAGTGTTATTTGGAAGGATGACCTGGGAACTTTGAATCAGGCTGCAGCATGGTCAGGGCTCTGACATCACCTCCTCAATAGCAGTCCTCTTGGAGGCTGGGTCCCTCCAGCCTTCTCTCTGCTGCTTCCTGGATTCCCTTTGTCGTACCCCTACTCCCTACCCCCACCCACCCCAGCCAGGCTCATCTTCAGGGAAACAGGCCCGGTTTCCATGGTGACCAGCCGGTCAGCTGGCTCCTTCCCCCGCCCCCTCCCTTCACCCCCCTTCTCCTGGAGCTTCCAGGGACGGGTAATGTGTGTGAATGGGAAGGCAGGGGTGGTCTTTTGTCTCCTGGGAGCTCTGGGTTTGGTTGTCCACCCTCCAAGACCCTTGAAGTAGAGACAGGAAGACAGTGCGGGGTCAGGAGGAAGATGACAATAGCCACATGGGGATGGGAGGCTCCCGTGAGAGTTAGGAAGGGCCAAGGTGAGGCGCTCTGCTGGCAGAACAGGCGGAAGCCTGGCTGGGAGAGGCTGGAGTTAGCTGCGAGGCAGAGGTCCCAAGAAGCACTGGGTGCTGCACTGGCAGCAGCCGGCCCCTGGGAGCCTCTTCTGTCACCAGGAGGGAATGAGGACCCTGCCTCTTCTGGACCACCTCCCCCCCCCCCCCAAACTGGGAGGGCCATGGAGCCACAGGGTGACACGGAGCCATCTTCGCCTCCCCCGGAAAGGGCAGAGTGGGGAAACGGAGGCAGGACCCTCCTGCCCCAGACCTTGGTGCTTGTTCCTTGTCTCCAAAGATCACACAGGCAGGCTCTGCCTCAAGCTAGCTTTCCAGCCCCCAAGTAGCTTCTGAGGCTTTTGCATGGGACAGGTCTACATTCTGGGGAAAAGCTCTGTGAGTGCTGAAAGGTGACCTGAGTAAACCTCCCATCCTCCCTCCCTCTGCCTGGGTCCCTGTGGGTAACTGAGGAGCAGAGTTGCTCTGTCAAAGGCCTTAGGGACACAGGGCAGGAGGCTGCTGAGCTGGTGCGCATGGACTGATCAGGCATGGCCTTCATCGTGTTCTGTTCTAAGGGCTGCTTTCCACCTCTTGCACTTTGCGCGAGACTTTTGCTCCTGGACAGTAGGGAACAGCTTTTCATTTCTGTGCGGGGGGCACACAGTAGGCGCCTAATGCCTTTTACCGAATGGATGCAGTACAAGGATGAATGAGTGCGTCTCCGCCAGCCAGTTTCCTGTCTGTCTTTCCCCCGGGAGGCCCGAGCAGCAGGGTGTGGCGCCCCTGGCGGGTAGGGCTGGGGCCGGTGCGCCCTCCACCCTTCCCTGCTCCGTGGTCCCGGACTTTGCCTCCTACGCTCACAAATACCCTAGAGGTTGTCCAGCCAACGTCCTCACTGCACGGACGAAGAAATGAAGGCTCAGAGAGGAGAAGGCATGTGCCCAAGGTCACACAGCTCATTCATGGCAGGGCCAGGACTTAGAGTTAGAACACGGGCGTCCTGCGCTCCAGCCCAGGGCGCCGGCCGCACTTCGTCGCCTCTCCAGGGCCGCTCAAGGGGAGGCAGGTGGTTCAGCGAAGGCCGGGCCACCGTCCTCCCCTGCTCTCCGCCGGTCCCTCTTCGGGTCTCGATTCCAGCCTCTTCCCTTTCCCTCTCAAGTCCGGTTCCTGCCTGAACTCTACCACGCAACCTGGGAACAAGATCCTGCCCTGGGGTTCCGGGACTCGGTGTCCTCTCCCCACCCCTCAAGCCCCTGGAAGCTGCGGGAATCAGGATGGGGAGGGAGGTTGGCTGGACCTCGGGCGCCCCTCGGCGGAGGCCAGACCCGGAGCTGCGGCTGGAACAGTCTCTGGAGGGGCGCGCGGGGAGCGGCCTCGGGCGCGGGGACCGGCGGTGGGGAGCCCCTGTTGCTTCTTCTCTTTGGGGGGGTGGTTATTAGGTAGGCTCGGGAAGGCGGAGTTTGGGGGGCCGGGGGCGGGGCTCGACTGCGTGGCGAGGAAGAGGGGGGAGCGCTGGCTCCGACTCGGCTCAGACAAAAGGCGGCGGCGGGAGCGGGCGGGAGGCGGAGCGGCGCCGCGAGGGCCTCAAGGTGACACCCGCCCCCGGCCCCGGCCCCCCCAGCCCGGCCCCCAGCCCGCCTCCCCGCCCCGGTCCCCAGACCCCTCTCCCCCGGTGCCCTTCCCAGGCCCCCTCCCCCCGGCAGGGGGGGTGGGGAGCAGTGAGGGCCCCGCCCCCTCCGCCCCCTCCCCAGGGCCCGCGCAGGATGCCCCCGGCCCCCAGCAGCCCCCCGGGAGGTCCTGAGCTCGACGCGCCCCCTCTACGCCATGTCCCCCCCTGGCTCGGCCGCGGGAGAGAGCGCCGGCGGCGGCGGCGGCGGTGGCGGCGGCCCCGGGGTCCCGGAGGAGCCCATGGCGGCAGTGGCGGACGAGGGCCCCGCCCGAGAGGAGGTGAGAGCCGGCGGCGCCCCTTCCCCGGGCGCGGCTGCAGCCCGGTCCCCATCCCCCAGCAGCGCGCGGCCCCCGCCGGTTCCGCCGCAGCGCGGCCGGCGCCCCGCACCCCGAGCCGGGCGCCACAGCCGCAGTCCGGCGCCGCCGCCCCCACCAGGCGGCCGGAGCTGTCCGCGGTAGCGGGGAAGGGGACCGCGCCGGGGGCGGGGCTGTGGGGGGGTCCCGGGCAGGGGGAGGGGCTTAGGGGCGGAGCCTCGCGGACCCCGGGCCGGTAATGGGGGGGGGGGCTAAGCTGCTACCAGTGGTGGGGGCTGGGGGGATCCAGTCTGACGAAGGGGATGCCCCCTAGAAGGCCAGGAAGGGAGACCTGCATGGGTGACAGAGCCAGGACCGGAGCTGGGAAGTGGTGGGGTTACCTGAGGGGGAGCCCTAAGAAGGTCAGGCATATAGAGGCCATTAACCCTCGGGGTGACTGGGAGTGGGTGTGTGCACCTCTCTTTCCCAGTGTCCCTGCTGCTCCCCCAGGGGATCCTAAGCCCCAGGGTCCCGCAGTCTTGGTACTAAGCAGAGCCCTATTTGGGGTGCCTCCTCTTGTGTCCTCAAACTGGAGAAGAGGGACTGAGGAAAGTACTAGAAGGCTCCCCCCACATTCACAGTCACTCTGCACTAGGGAGGGAGCACACACACAGAGCTGCTTCCAGGTGTGCTCACGCTGGGACAAGCACACAACCAGGTGGGCACACAGATGCACGCGCGCGCGCACACACACACACACACACACACACACACACCTCCCAAGGACAAGGCTCCCTGAAGGCACATGAGCCCTCACTGCCTCGTTAGGATGCGCTGTGTGCTGTTCCCTGTCCCATCTGTGTGTCTGTGCTTGGAGCTCCAGGGCACGGAGCCTGTGCCTGTGCTCGGCTCCTCCCCTCCGTTCCCCTGCTGGCTTCCGGGTCAGGCCTGGAGAACGGAGGGGTAGGTCAGGATCAGCAGGGCAGCCAGTGAGTAGGGGTGGGAAAACACAGGCCAGTGTGAGAACTCCAACTCAGCAGTCATTGATGATGCAGCTGCAGGGTGTGAGCCCCATGGCAAGCACCCTGGCCACAGGAGCCCTCAGTCTTGTGGGAGACATGTAAGCCACTTACCTGACCAAGCAAGGGGCAGAAGGAGCCAAGAGCTTTGACAGACGGGTCCCAGGAGAGTCCCCAAAATTGTTTTCTTTTTGACAAATGGCTGGGCTTCACACATCTCCTTCCCTGCCCCCTCCCCAGCTGCACGCCTGCGCCCTTCTGCTCAGGCACCCCAGCTCCCGCCTTCCCTTGCTAGAACAGTTGGGGTACGGGAGAGAGACTCACAGGATCTGGGGTCCCTGGGGACTGGGGTTGCGCCTCCAAGGTATTTGGTGGGCGGTGAGGATTAGGGCGGGCCTCGGCTAAACCTGGGACTGAAGGGGTAGGTGGGAGAGGGGTGAGTGGGTCCCTCCCCTCCCAGCTTCCTGCAACACCTGGAAGGGGTCTGGGCCGGGCACCTGCCTTCGCTGACACCTGTCTGTCTGTCCTCCCTCCCTCTGACCACACCTCCTCCCGTCTCACTGCCATCTTCGCGTCTGTCTTTGCACTTGTCTCTCTGGGTGCCACCCTATCCGTCCCTGTCTCTGCCACCTGGGCCTCCATCTCTGGCTCTGATCCACTGCTGCCTCTCCGGCGGGGGGCGGGGGCCTCTCTCTGCGCTTCCGGGGATTGGCATTCTGGCCCCTTTTTCTGTCTCCTGGCTCTCACTGGACCACCTCTGTGTGTATCTCTGGTCTCTGGCTCCCATCTTGGTCCTACTGTCACTCTTGAACGCCCTTTGTTTGTGACCTCGTCCCTGTCATCTCTGGTGCTGACTCCACCCCTGCATCTCTGTGCTGGGTCCTACCCACCCCTGTCTCCCTTCCCATCTGAGCAGCAGCGTCCCATCCAGCCCTCTTTCACCAAGTCCCTCTGCCGTGAGTCCCACTGGAAGTGCCTCCTGCTCTCGCTGCTCATGTACGGCTGCCTAGGGGCCGTGGCCTGGTGTCACGTCACCACGGTGACCCGCCTCACCTTCAGCAGCGCCTACCAGGGCAACAGCCTCATGTACCACGACAGCCCCTGCTCCAACGGCTACGTCTACATCCCCCTGGCCTTCCTGCTCATGTTGTACGCCGTCTACCTGGTGGAGTGCTGGCACTGCCAAGCGCGCCACGAGCTGCAGCACCGCGTGGACGTGAGCAGCGTGCGGGAGCGCGTGGGCCGCATGCAGCAGGCCACGCCCTGCATCTGGTGGAAGGCCATCAGCTACCATTATGTCCGCCGCACCCGCCAGGTCACCCGGTACCGCAACGGAGATGCCTACACCACCACCCAGGTGAGGAGCTGGGGAGGGTGCTTGGTGGGAGGAGGGGCGCAAGGCACAGTGAGCGTCCACTAGCCGCTGCAACAGGGCAGCAGTGACCCTGCTAACAAAGGCAGATGCTGTCGGAGCCAGGCTTGGTTCTAGGGCCCAGTTATTAAATCATTTATTGGACCCCCATAACAGATGGGTAAGCGTTTTGTCCACTTTCCAGATGACGAAACTGAGGCGGTTGGGTAACATACCAGGTCGGGTAGCTAGTATATGGTGGTGGTGGTGGGGATTCAAACTCCAGCGGCCTGGCCCCAGGGTGTGCACTGTTTCCTGCTTAATGGCTGGAGATGGGAACGTGCTGCGTGTCACAGCGTGCTCGCAGCCGCTCAGTGCAGTGACTGCCGCCGAGTCCCCTGTCCCAGGTAAGTGAGAACACCTGCCCAGGGTCTGCAGCTCCCAAGTCCAAGGCTCCCAGGTCAGGTGAGCCCAGGAGGCTTTGTGGAGAGCTAGCGGCAGGGCAGGAAGCTCTTCCGGGAGGAGATAATCGGGCCCTGGGGACATCGGGGAGTTGGGCTCAGCAGGCAGAGGCCAGGGTCAGTGAGCAGCAGGAAGGCGGCTGAGTGAGAGCTAAGGCAGACTACAGGAGGCCACACAGAGAAGGGGTCTCTGGGGACCTCCTTCGGAGGGCCCATTTGCAAACACATCTGCAAAAGGGAAACAGAGAGCAGGGGCAAAAGGATCAGGCATGCCCTGGGCGGGCTGACTCCAGAGCAAGCAGCACTTAACCCAACTCGCAATGCACGCAAGCCCCATCCTCATCTCTAACTTGCTGGTTAGGCTGAGGGCCTCAGGTGCTCATGGCCAAGATCCTACCTGGCTCCAGCAGGTGTCCAAGTCAGGACAGGGCTTAGGGTTTGAGCAGGCAATACCAGGCGCGAGGAGGCGGGCACCGCGAGGCTGCCGCCCGCCACTCCAGGTCCACCTCCCTCCCCTGCGACGCAGGTCTACCATGAACGCGTCAACACGCACGTGGCCGAGGCCGAGTTTGACTACGCGCGCTGCGGCGTCCGCGACGTGTCCAAGGCGCTGGTGGGGCTGGAGGGCGCGCCGGCCACACGGCTGCGCTTCACCAAGTGCTTCAGCTTCGCCAGCGTGGAGGCCGAGAATGCGTACCTGTGCCAGCGCGCGCGCTTCTTCGCCGAAAACGAAGGCCTGGACGACTACATGGAGGCGCGCGAGGGCATGCATCTCAAGAACGTGGACTTCCGCGAGTTCATGGTGGCCTTCCCGGACCCGACCAGGCCGCCCTGGTACGCCTGCTCGTCGGCCTTCTGGGCCGCGGCGCTGCTCACGCTGTCCTGGCCGCTGCGCGTGCTGGCCGAGTACCGCACAGCCTATGCGCACTACCACGTGGAGAAGCTCTTCGGCCTGGAGGGCCCCGGCTCGGCGAGCAGCGCGGGCGGCGGCCTGAGCCCCAGCGACGAGCTGCTGCCCCCGCTCACGCACCGCCTGCCGCGGGTCAACACGGTGGACAGCACGGAGCTCGAGTGGCACATCCGCTCCAACCAGCAGCTGGTGCCCAGCTACTCGGAGGCGGTGCTCATGGACCTGGCGGGGCTGGGGGCGCGCTGTGGCGCATCGGCGGCGGGCGGTGGCTACGCGCCCACGTGCCGCTACGGCGGGGTGGGCGGCCCGGGCGCGGCGGGCGTGGCCCCGTACCGGCGCAGCTGCGAGCACTGCCAGCGTGCGGTCAGCAGCTCATCCATCTTCTCGCGCAGCGCCCTGAGCATCTGCGCCAGCCCGCGCGCCGGCCCGGGGCCCGGCGGCGGCGCGGGCTGCGGGGGCAGCCGCTTCTCGCTCGGCCGCCTCTACGGCTCGCGGCGCAGCTGTCTGTGGCGCAGCCGGAGCGGGAGCGTCAACGAGGCGAGCTGCCCCACGGAGCAGACACGCCTGTCGAGCCAGGCCAGCATGGGCGACGACGAGGACGAGGACGACGACGAGGCCGGGCCGCCGCCGCCCTACCACGACGCCCTCTATTTCCCGGTTCTGATCGTCCACCGGCAGGAGGGGTGTCTGGGCCACAACCACCGGCCGCTGCACCGCCACGGCTCCTGCGTGGAGACCTCACTGTGACCTGCGGTCTCCGCAGCGACCCGCGCTCGCTGCCCTCCCGTGAGCCCCGCGTGCAGCGGGCGGAGGGCGTCGCGCGGTGACCGAGGCCGTGCAGGGTACGACCCGCAAGGGCTGGGGAGGTGAGGGCGCCCCGGAGACTTCCGCTGGGGCCCTGTATATAGCGAGACGGGTGGGTAGGAAGGGGTGGGCAGCTCCTGCCTCCAACAGCCCCCTCGTCCCTCGGGGGACGCCTCTTCTCCACGCCCACTCGACCTTTCCCGGCCAGACCTCCTCTCCCATTCCCCCCCACCCCCACCCCGGGGCCTCCTGACTGTTACTTGACGACCGGGTGCGTGCAGCTGGGGCCCTGTTGGTCCAGGCCCTCCCTGGGCTGCGGTGGGGGAAGGGAACTTGGGCTTCCCTTCTTTGGTTGCTCCGGGGGCCTTTGCGGAGGCAGCCGAGGTTTGGCGGACAGCAGGGCTGGCTTCCCCCCAGCTGAGAAACTCAGCGGCTCCGAGGCTGGGGCCAGGTGGCAGCCCCAGTGTGCCATCCCAACGCCCTGGAAATGTCGACCTCTCTTGGCGCTGGCCCCAAAGCTGGGGCTTTCCTTTCCACAGCTCCCTCCGCTCTGCTGTTGTTTATCTCGCTGGCCCCAGGAGTCCGGGTCTCGGTGGAACTGTGCACATCGCACAGGCATCGCTCACCTCCGGCTCCCTGGCGGGGGAAGGAGCGTGGCCAGGGCGCAGGGCAGCAGGGCAGCGGCTGTTTGGTGGGGGAGGCAGGGATGGGGCGGCTTGTGGCAGGCCCTGTGCCTCAGCCCTGCCTCTGAACTCTGCAGCCTTCCCGCTGGGTCCAGAGCCCAGGCAGCACTCACTGAAGCTGACCAGGGTGAGCGACTCAGAGAGCGCATGGGACACACCTGAGTGACAAGGAGCAGCTCTGGAAGCGGGTGGGGGTTAAGGGGGAGGGGCAGTGCAGGGCAGATGGAGGGATCTACCTGGTGGGGACACTGCTTGGCCCTGGGATCTGCCCCTAGGGGCTGAGCACGTTGTCCAAGCTCCAGCCGAAGGGCCACTCAGTCCCAGTGGCAGGGTCAGAGACAGGAATTCTCTCCGTCTTGCCCAGCCCCTGCAGTCTCTTCTGTTCCATGAGCTGAAGCCCTGCTGTGTGTCCCAGGGTCTTCAGAGGGGCATCCTGTCACACCCCCCCCCCCACGCTGGCCCCGGTCCTGTTCCCCCACCGAGGCTCAGGCACCCCGTCTGTCCCTGTGCCGGCCTCCGCCCGATGTGCTTCAGTGTGCATGTCTGTGTGCGAGCCCTGCTCCTCCACTGCCCTGGCTAAAGTTTCCCCAGCAGATTTAGCGCCCGAGGATCGAGCTCCCATTTCCGGCTAGAGAGGATAAATAACCCCTGGGCCCCCAAGGCACCACTGACCCCTGATGCTTCTCACTTCACCTGAGCCACGGCCAGCCAGCCAGGCCTCCACCTATGCAACATCACCTTGGGCCCCCCTTTGCCCTTCCTCCCCCCTCCCCCACCACTGGGGGCTGTGTGGACCCCCACCCCCGCCTGTCATCAGGTCAAGCTTTATGTTTGGGCAGACAGGGCTGAGTGAGGACGGAGGGGGCCGGAGAGGGGGTCAGCCGGGTGGGAGGCGATGGCTGCCTCCTCTCCCCGCCTGCTGGCACGAAGCGGCCTGCGCCCCGAGTCTGTGCTCCTCGGGGGTGCTGGCAGTCGGAGCACCCCCTGTCTCCTCTGAATGGACATCTGTGAGGTACAGGTGGTGAGCTGTGGCCTCAGGCGCCATCTCTGGGCCAGCTGGCACCTGGCTGGCCGGCCCTCCTCCTGGCTCCTCCTCCCCCAAGGCGCAGCCCCGCCACAGAGCCCGGCCTTGGAAGAGCAGACAGGAGCCCTGTTATTCTTTTTTTGCCTGTATCGACCATCTCTGCCTCGGTCTTCTCACACAGCCTCACCTCCCACACACGCACAGACTTAGAAAGAAACCAATTCTTTGGTCTATTTTCTTGGTAGCTTTATTGATTGCCGAGGAAAATGAAAACCCGAAAATTAATTAATCTAAAATTAAACTTTACACTGAATGTTCTTGTTTCTGTAATTAGAACCTCTGCTAGCAGCTGTGGCTACACACACACACACTCACACTCACACACACCCTCACACCTACACGTTTGCACTCCGGAACTGTCAGAGGGTGTCGGGTAGAGTCTAGGTCGCCGAGACAGGCACGCACACACAGTCACTCCCAAGCCCCCTTCGGTGCTCTGCTCAGCGCCTGCTTGTTGGAAGGAGTCCCAGCAGAGCAGGCACCCCCTGGGGCTGAGGCTATAGCCCCGGGTCTGAAGGTTCTGGGCTCCTCTGCTCAAGGAGGATGGGGGAATTGGGCTCCGCCTGAACCCAGTGGTCAGGGCCTCTTGGGGCCCCCTGGGCTGAGCTGGTTCTGTTGGAGGCGGCCGCAAGGGTGCGCAGCTGCAGAGTGCGAGGGCTCATGCAGGGCCCCTGGCAGGCCTCCATGTCTCCTGGGGACAAGGGCTTGAGGGGCGGGCTGGGCCTGGCTCGGGAGAAGACAGGTCTCTGTCAATTGGGTGCATCACACTGTGGCCTTTCCGTTGTGGATTTCCAAGCGCAAAGATTGTACAAATCGAACTGGTGGACAATAAAGTTGTAGATGACTCACTGACTCCCTTTCCCAGGGTGCTGCTCCTCCCCCAGCCCTCCCGCCGATGGGCGCCCTCCGGGGTGGATGCAAGGGTAGGAACTGCAGTCTTCATGCACGGTGGCCTTTCTGAGGGAGTCCGCTGGATCTGAGGCCCTCCTGTCATCTCTGTTGTCCTCTTTGTGAGCTGGGGGCCTAGGGGGTGGTGTGACCTGTAGAACTGGATCACTTAAGGCAGGGTCAGGCGACAGGGAGGGGGCTCTGCGGTACCCAGAGGGGGGTGTGTGTGAGAGTGTGTGTGTGTTGCAAGGTCCAGGCTCTGTCCTGTAGCAGCAAAGTGACAGGGGTGGCTTCAGACCAGGGATGTGGACAGCCCCCTTGGGAGAGTCTGGACAGGCAAACTCTCACTGTGTCTTCCCCATTCCCAGAAGCAGTTGGCCATTTGTGGGGGTTCTGGTGTACCCTCTCTCTGGGCACAGGAACTGCCTGGGTCCCCACTTTAGACCCTATCCCAGCCCCCCCCCACCCCCGCCTAACGTCTTCACCCGTACAACCCTGACCACTCAGCCCAAGGAACTTCGCGTCTTCCCTCCCCCGCCCTCTGGTCCAGCGTGACAGCGTGTGGCAGGGGTGGCAGGAGCAGCCACCCCCATCCACAGTCTTATCCCATAGAGTTCTCCAGGCTGCTGGCGGTGATGGACGATATGAAGTGGCTGGGATTCAGGACCCGCTGGCGGGCGGCTTCTCGGTTGGCACAGAGGGCCTGGCCAATGAGGTACTCGCTCTCCTGGGCTATATCTGACAGGCGCAAGTCGAACTCCAGGAGCGTCTTGTTGTCTAGGATGCCTTCCAGGAGCTGCTTGCCGCCATCCTGGGGGCGGGGTGGAAGGGAAGGGCCATTTGATGTCACTGCCTAGGGTCAGGTGCACGTGTGTTTACATACAGGCGTGGCTAAAACAAGGCTCATAAACGCTACTTCGCCTGTTCATGCAGCATGTGACGTGCGGATTCCAGTCCGCTCCAGGCAGGGTGGCCGGCACCTAATACACTGATTTCCCTACCCTGATGATGTGACACACATGGCTCTCTGGGTCAGCCAGGGACACACAGTTGTTGTGGCTGATGGGACGAGAAAGGGAAGTTTGGAGGGGTGGCTCCTGGGGAGTTGCCCTCCCTTTGAAAAGAGAACAAAAGAAAGAGGTCTCCCCTTTTCCGCCTCGTGGCCCGTCTGTGTGAGATGGCAGGGCTGGGGCAGCCACTTTGGGTCCATGGGAAGTGCACTGGAGAGCCCACGGCCAGAGAGCTGGGGACAGCAGAGCAGAGGGTGGCTTGAGCCAAGGGGGATTCTGCTTGTTCCTCTTCTGTAAGCCACTTCCTGGTTAAGCTTACTGTTACTGTAGCCAAGGGCACCCCCTATAGAGACAGTGTTGTGCAGGTGTGTGTGTGTGTGTGTGTGTGTGTGAGAGAGAGAGAGAGAGAGAGAGAGAGGCGGGGGGAGGCTTAATAGCAGAGGGTGGTCTCCCTGCTGCAGCCCCTCTGGATCGGGTGTGCCAGGCTCCATGTGAGAGCAGTTCATGTTGGGAGGCAGAAGCTGCACTTCTGTGGTTGTGCCAATAGTGTGTTATGGAGTCAACTTAATGAGTCACAGAAACATTTTTAAAAAACGGAATAGAGTAGACTCTAACGGAACCCCAGCCTATACCACAAGCAGTGAAAGTCTCAACAAGGCTGTGTTCATGCATGTGTTCCCTGGGTGTCATGGAAACTGCACTGCCTTCTCCAGGACTTGATCAAGCGAGTTTGAGGGGCTGGCGCTGTGGGGCAGAGGGCAAAGCTGCCACCTGTGACGCCGACATCCCATATGGGTATCAGTTGGAGCCCTGGCTGCTGCTGCTGCTGCTACTTCTTTTTTTTTTTTTTTTTTGACAGGCAGAGTGGACAGTGAGAGAGAGAGACAGAGAGAAAGGTCTTCCTTTGCCGTTGGTTCACCCTCCAATGGCCGCCGCTGCAGCCGGCGCACCGCGCTGATCCAATGGCAGGAGCCAGGATCCAGGTGCTTTTTCCTGGGTCTCCCATGTGAGTGCAGGGGCCCAAAGAGTTGGGCCTCTTCTACTGCTTTCCCAGGCCATAGCAGAAAGCTGGATAGGAAGAGGAGTAGCTGGGACTTGAACCAGCACCCATATGTGATGCCAGCACTGCAGGTGGTGGCTTTACCTACTACACCACAGCGCCGCCCCTGCTCCACTTTCAATCCAGCTTCCTGCTGGTGCGCCTGGGAGAGCAGTGGAGAATGGCCCACATTCTTGAGCTCCTGCACCCATGTTAGGACCACTTGAAGAGTGAATCAGCAGATGGACTCTCTCTCTCTCTCTTTCTACCTTCCAAATAAATACAATATTTTAAAAAAGCAAATATTGCATGCTAATCAAACTTTGTTTAAAATGAAGGGAAAATACTCATTTTACTAGATAACGGAGGAGGAAAGGAGAACTCTCGCACATTGGCGTAGCTATACATCAACACAGTCTGTACGCATGCTTGATGCAGCATAGACAGGGAGTGTCTGCGTTCTTAACCCTGTCCCGCAAGTTCCCTAGGGCAGTTGGACTACACACCCCGCCCCGCCTCCACCTGCCCAGCGGCTCACCTGCCCGATGTGGTTGCAGGACAGGTTGAGGCTGGTGAGCGTGGTGTTGATGGTGAACACCTGGGAGAGGAGCGTGGCGGTGGGCTCGGAGAGCTCGTTGCTCCCGAGGTGCAGCGTGGTGAGGCACTTGTTGGTCTGCAGGGCGTGGGCAATGGCCTGGCCGCCCTCATCCTCGATGTAGTTGAGGCGCAGGTTGAGGGAAGTGAGGCTGGTGTTGTGCGCCAGGGCGTGAGCCAGCGCCTGGGCACCAGGCCCCCGGATCTGATTGTTGGCCAGATTGAGCACACGCAGGCGGCTGTGCATCAGCAGCTTGGCGGCGCCACGTGCACCGCGGTCCCCGATGAGGTTGTGTGACAAGTCCAGCTCCTCAAGGACTGGGTGGTCCAGCAGGCCCCGAATTAGGATGCGTGCCTTGTCGTCATCCACTCTGCTGCGGGTCAGCCTGAAGATCTGCATGCAGAGAGAGAGGGGCTACAGCAGATGCTAGCCAGGGATAATCTGCCTGCCTGCCTATATTTAGAAAACACTTATTTACGGGGCCGGAGCTGTGGCATACCAGGTAAAGCCGCCGCCTGCAGTGCCGGCTATCCCATATGGGTGCTGCATCGAGTCCCGGCTTCTCTAATTCTGATCCAGCTTCCTGCTAACGTGCCTGGGAAAGCAGAAACAGAAGATGGTCCAAGTCCTTGGACCCCTGTACCCATGTCGGAGACCCAGAGGAAGCCCCTGGCTTCGGATTGGCCTAGCTCCAGCTGTTGTGGCCATTTGGGGAGTGAACCAGTGGATGGAAGACCTCTCTCTCTCTCTGCCTCTGCCTCTCTGTAATGCTGCCTTTCAAATAAATAAATAAATATTTAAAAAAAAAACACTTATTTTGAGCAGGTGTTGTGGTGCAGTAGGTTACGTTGCTGCTTGGGGATGCCTGCATTCCACTTTGGAGGGCTGGTTTGAGTCCCAGCTGCTCTGCTTCTAATCCAGCTCCTTGCTAATTTGCACTCTTGGAGGTGGTGGATGATGGCTCAAGTACTTGGATCCCTGCTACCCACATGGGAGACCTGGATGGAGTTCCTGGCTCCTGGCTTTGGCCCCCTGTAGCCTTGGTTGTTGCCAAGGAGTGAACTAATGGATGGAAGATCTCTCTCTCTCTCTCTAACTCTGGCTTTCAAATAAATAAATTAGTGGAAAAATTATTTGAGAGGCAAATAGACAAAAAGAGAAACCTTCTATCTACCGGTTCATCCCCCAAATGTCTTTGATGGTCCTCCTGCCTGACCAGGCTGGGCTAGGAGCTAGAACTCAATCCAGATCTCCCATGTGGGTGGCAGAATCCCAATTACATGAGCCACCACCAGTGCCTCTTAGGGTCTGCATTAGCAAGAAGCTGGAGCCAGGAGCCAGAGCTGGGGATCAAACCCAGGTTGTGTGATGTAGGACACGGGCCTGCCCCTTTCCCACCTTTTGCAGGCAGATGAGGAAGCCAGCGGAGGCCTGAGGTTGTCTCACCTGGCTGGTGTTGGGTGAGGCAGGCCTACTCAGCCTGGCAAAGTGGTGCAGAATTGGTGGCAGGTAGCTGGGGAAAAGATCACTATTCACTGAGCAATTACGTGCTGGCTTGCTTCCAGAATGTTTTGCAACCATCAACTCTAACCCTCAGCACCGTGACAAAGTAGAACAAGTTCTTCCCATTTTGGAGAGAGGGAGAATGGAGGCTTGGGGCAGAGGATTTTGCCAGTCAGATCTGGGGAGGAAGTGGGGAGGGAGGGACACAGGAAATGAATGGGATGAAGGAAAGAAAGAAAGGGAGTAGGGCTGGCATTATGAATGTTATAGATGGGCAACCTCCGTTTCTCCTTCCCATTGGCTTGTTCTACTCCTCTGTCTCTCTGTAGCCTTCGGTCCTCCCTTTTCTTTTATTTTTTAAAGATTTATTTATTTATTTATTTGAAAGTCAGAGTTACACAGAGAGAGGAGAGGCAGAGAGAAAGAGAGAGAGAGTTCTTCCATCCAATGGTTCACGCCCCAAATGGCCGCAACGCCGGGGCTGCACAGATCCGAAGCCAGGGGCCAGGAGTTTCTTCCGGGTCTCCCACGTGGATGCAAGGGACCAAGGACTTGGGCCATCTTTTACTGCTTTCCCAGGCCATAGCAAAGAGTTGAATCGGAAGTGGAGCAGTCGGGACTAGAACCGGCACCCATATGAGATGCCAGCACTGCAGGTGACATTTTTTACCCACTACCGCCATAGCACTGGTCCCTATTTATTTATTTAATTTAAAAGGCAGATTTGCAGAGGGAGAGAGAGGTGTTCCATCTGCTAGTTCAGTCCCCAGATGGCCACAAAGGCCTGAGCTAGGCCAATCTGAAGCCAGGAGCCAGGAGCTTCTTCTGGGTCTCCCACGTGGGTGCAGGGGCCCAAGGATTTTGGCCATTTTCTACTGCTTTTCCAGGCCATAGCAGAGAGCTGGATCGGAAGTGGATCAGTGGGGACTGGAACCAGCACCCATATGGGATGCTGGTACTGCAGGCGGCAGCTTTACCCACTATGCCACAGCGCTGGCCCTGGGTTAACATCTCTTGGCCTCTTATCTTCTCATTGAATCTACCAGCACGGATCCAACATGGGATTAACCCTCCTATTTCCTGTGTGCTGTGCTCAAGCACCTGACATAGGGAAGAGGTCCCCTGCAGGGCTGGTGTGCATCACTAGAGCCACTGTGGGCTCTCGGTCAGTGTGCCTGTCCGTTCCTCTGGCTGACATTCTCATCACCCACAGCAGTGGTCTCAACCTTTCTCAGCCCTCTCAGACCTCAGGGGGCCTCCCAGCAGAGCCAGCTCTCAGTGAACTTTCTTTGTGTTTCCCATCCATGGAAGGGGAATCCCTCATTTTCCTGATAGCAAACACAGACCCACTGCCACCCTGCTTTCCCTCTCCCCCTGCCTGGGGCCATCTCGGTCCTAGATCCCACCCTTCCTGCCTTCTCAGAACTGTCCCTGATCTCCCTGCTATCACCAATCGCTTTCTTGCAGCTGGATGGAGCCTCGCCTTGGTGGCAAACACAAGCAAGTTAGAGAGAGAGACGAAAGAGAGAGAGAGAGAGGTTCCATCTGCTGGTTTACTCCCCAATTGGCCAGGGCTGGGCTGGGCCAAAGCCAAGAGCCAGAGACTTCACCTGGGTCTCTCACATGCATAGAAGGGGCCCAAGTACTTGGGCCATCTTCCACTGCTTTACCAGGGAGCTGGTTTGGAATTGGAGCAGCAGGAACTCAAACCAGCACTCATATGGGATGCTGACATCGCAGGTGGCAGCTTAACCCACTGAGGCACAACACCGGCCCAACAGCCAAGTTCTTGAAAAAGCTGATCACAGTCACCACATCCCTCACTCTCCGCTTGCCCCATAAACTGTGGCTCCTGGCACTCCACGCAACGGCCCCCAGTGCAGGGACCTCTATCTTGCCAAATCAAGGAGGAACCATAGTCTGCTGCCTCCCAAGGTACACATGAACAGGAAGCTAGAATCAAGAGCCAGAGCCAGGCATTGAACTCAGGCACCCCATGATGGTGTGTGTGGGCATCCCAAGCAGTATCTTAACTACTAGGTCACGCGCCTGCTCCTGAGATTCAAATTTAACTGGGTGTCTTGCACTTCTATTTGCTAAATCTGGCGATCATATTCTAGCTGCAACTGTACATTTATATCATCGCTGATTAGCGCCATTCATCCCACCAGCTCGTCAGCTCCAGAGGCACAAATGGCATAATTTTGTGGCTTGTTGTGTCTTCAGCACCTAGGACAGGGCCTGGAATGCAGATGGTAGCTCCATGACTAATCTCAGGCTGCTGAGATGGGGGGCAGTGCCTTGTTTAGGTCAGCAGCCCCAGAACTTGCTGGCTCGGTGCAGGATGCATTAAACACACACACACACACACACACACACACACACACACACACACACACACACACACCTCTGTCAGTGAGGAAGGTGATGGGAGAAAGAAGATGGCAATGGAGGGAATCCCAGAGATGCTGAGCAGGGACTGAAGGGCAGCTGGGGGCCAACGGTACCTTGAGGGTGTGGCACACCTTGATGGTGGCTGCCAAGGATTGGCAGTCATGGTAGGTGAAGAGGAAGAGGTTCCACTCAAAGTTCATGCCACAGTCCTTGACCCCGTATACCAAGTCCAACTCCTCCAGGTGGCTCAGGCCAGCCACCAGCTCCCCCAGCTGGTAGTGGTCCATGACGGGTTCCTCCGTCTCTCCCTCGCTGCCTGAGTCCGACTGGTCCCCAGTGCGAGGCGGGAGCGGGAGCCGCACAGGCGGCAGGAACTGATCCACCTGGATCCTGCGCACGTAGTTGCGGCAGAGCGGCAGCAGGTCGAGGATCACGGCCGGGTCCGTGGTGCCTGGGATGAAGTGCTTCAGGAGGCTCTCCAGGTACCGCTCGAAGAACATGCGCTTCCAGCTGCCGCCGTGCTTGGCCACGTGGCACACCGGCCAGCGCTGCATGCAACAGCGCTGCCAGTAGCTCTCGTGGTCGATGAGGTTAGCGGTCACAGCGAGCGGCAGGTCAGGGGACAGGTGGCTCAGGACCTTCTGCTGGTGCTCCGGGAGCAGCTGCTTCAGGATCGGGTTATCTTTGGGAACAGAGGGAGGAGATGGGGGCTCACACAGCGCCCTGGGCTGCACCTGTCTGGGGTCACTGAGGAGAGGGAAGGTCCTCCTGTACCCCCCGGGGAGTTCCTGTCTGAGAACTCAGCCGGCTTCTGCTCTCAGGGAGCCCCAGGCTGAAGGGGGGACACGGCCCCTGGCTTTGGGGTGCTCCCTGCCTGATGGTGGACAGATCAGTGTCTGGTTTCAGGGAGCTCCCAGTCTGAGACGCGGGACCAATGGTCAGTTATCAGCTAGTCTGATGGAGGAGACGACCTCAGACCTGGGAGGCTCCCAATCTAATTTGATCTCTTTGTTCAAAATAATTATTTTTGTGAGTACCTACTATGCACAGGACACTATTGCTAGAGCTCTAAGAATGAAAAAAAAAAAAAAAAAAACAACGGACAGTCTCCTTCCCAGTTTTTTCATTCTAGTGAGGAGGGAGGCAGACAACAAACAAGCAAAAAGAACCCTGCTGTGGGGGCCGGCGCTGTGGCTTAGTGGGTAAGGCTGCTGTCTGCAGTGCCAACATCCCATGTGGGCACTGGTTCGTGTCCTGGCTGCTCCCCTTCTGATCCAGCTCTCTGCTATGGCCTGGGAAAGCAGTGGAAGTTGGCCCAAGTGCTTGTGCCCCTGCACCTGCGTGGGAGACCTAGAAAAAACTCCTGGCTCTTGGTGTTGGCTTGGCCCCAGCTAGCTGAGGGCATCAGCATGGAGGGTGCAGTGTGGGAGGGAGTGCAGTGGGCTCTGGCAGTGGGCATGGCAGGAGGAGCTGTCTTGGCCCTGAGCGGAAGGGAAGTGTGGAGTGGGTCTGAGGATGTCCCTGGTGCCGGCTGCTGAGGCCTCGGCGCCAGGCCGTCCCCACCCACCTGCCCCAGCCCTGGTGGGCTCCTCCCACTGAGCAGGGACACTCACTGTGGAAGTTCCTGACGATGTGCTGGATGCAGAGCTCCGTGAGGAGAGGCACGATGGCCAGTGTCCACTCAGCATCTTCAGCAATGACCCGGCGCATGCGACGGAAATTGGGAGCCTTGGACTTGGCAGGGAGGGTCATGGCTAAGGGCTTTGAGGCCTGGGGCGTGGAGGGTAGAGGTTGGTCAGCGGCGGAGTGCCGCTCCTGGGTGGAGACAGAGGACTGGCTGGAGCCTAGCGTCATGGGGTCCTGCATGCTGGCGGCTGGCAGGGTAGAGGCAGGAAGCCCCTCGCTGACCTTGTGACAGGAAGCGTCTCAGACCCCTGGGTCCTTGATGCAAGCGGGGACCTGCAGCAAGGGGAAGACAGCAGAGGTGCTACTTTGCAGGATGTCAGTGGGCATTTGCCAAGAGAGGTAGTATGGAGTGGTGCTCAGGGGAGCAGGTCCAAGTGCAAATCCCACCGACTCGCTGTGTGGCCCTGGACGAATTACTGAGCCTCTCTGAATGTCAGATGCTGCCTCTGTGAAGTAAGGGTAATAATTAGCAGGGGTGGAAGAGTGGATGTGAATAAAAAAAGCAGCCAAAGATGCACAGTGTGTTTTCTATATGGACACATGAAACCGTAGCAAGGAGCCGTCAGCTTTTTTTGATAGTAATAAACTGAACAGCAAACCACCATCATTGCTGTGTGCCAGATGCTCTCTTTTTCCTGTTTAGAAATGTCTTTACTTTCATTTTATTTGAAAGGCAGAGAAACACACATACACAGAGAGTGACAGACAGGAAGAGGTCTTTCATCCACTGGTTCACTCCCCCAAATGCCTACAACAGTCAGGGCTGGGCCGGGCTGAAGCCAGGAGCCCAAAACTCAATCTGGATCTCCCTTATGGGTGGCAGAGACCCAAGTCCCTGGGCCGTTGCCTGCTGCCTCCCAGGGCGTGCATTGGTAGGCAGCTGGGTCCTAAGTGGAGTAGCCAGGACTTCAGCCCAATACTCGATGCGGGCTTCCCAAGCATCGTCTTAGCCGCTGTGCTGAACACCTGCCTCCCCCTCCTGGAAGCGCCCTAGAGTTCTTTTTGCATATCAACTCTTTCATCTTCACAAGAGTTTTTTTTTTTTTTTAAGATTTATTTATTTGAAAGCTAGAGTTACAGAGAGAGAGAGAGAGAGAGAGAGAGAGAGAGAGGTCTTCCATCTGCTGGTTCACTCCCCAGATGGCTGCAACGGCTGGAGTTGTGTTGATCCAAAGCCAGGAGCCAGGAGCTTCTTCTGGGTCTCCCACGCGGGTGCAGGGGCCAAAGGACTTGCGCCATTCTCTACTGCTTTCCCAGGCCACCAGCAGGGAGCTGGATCTGAAGTGGAGCAGCCAGGACTTGAACTGGTGCCCATATGGGATGCCGGTGCTTCAGGCCAGGGCTTTAACCCTCTGCGCCACAGTGCCGCCCTCACAAGAGTGTTTTTTTTTTTTTTTTAAGGCAGGTGCTCATAATGTTCCCACTTTTCTAACATGAAAGTGAAGCATGAGAAGTTACTTGGCTTGCCCAATATCACATAGCTTATAAGCAACAAGTGTTGATTTAAACTCAGTCAACCAAGTTCATACTCTGAATCCTACATTGTACTGTCCTCCCGAGTACAGGGAATGTCCAAAAGACAGAGGGACTAATAAAAAATAAAGGCCCATTCGGCTCAAGACAGTTCCCTACACCAGGCACTTCACAGAACAGTGACCGCCTGAGCTGGAGGACCAGGTTGAGAACAGCACTGACCAATGCAAATATAATGCAAGCCACATATGCTATTTAAAATGAGCTTATGCCCATATTAAAAGAGCAACAAGTGGAATTAATCTTATATTTCATCCAATATGTCCCAAACATTGTCATCTAACTATGCAATCTATATAAAAATGGTTGTGGTATTTTACATAAATGCTTTCTTACTAAGGCTGCAGATTCTGATGGCTCAGTGGGCACACGGAGCCTGTGGGTTTCCACGGGGGCAGGGCAGGCTGAGAGAGCCAGGGGAAGGGAAGCCAGACCCGCGCCCTGCCCCAGGGGGCCCGCACCTGCCTTTCCTCGGGCTGCTGAGGGCGCCAGCGCTGGGCGCCCACCTTCCTTCTCCCCAGCCCAGTCTTCTCTCGTGCTGCCAGCCTCCTGGTACTCCAGACAGCAGTGGGCAGGCGTGGGAGGCGAGAAGGCAGCTAAATTTGGGGCTGAACACAGAAGACAGAAGATGTGTCTGGGTCTAGGGACGCCCCCAGTCCCGCTTGCCCATTCCTGGACCCTTGCCTTAGACGCCTCCACCCTGAGACGGGGAGAGGGGGCTGCAGCATGGGGCTCCTCCTCCAGGCACTTCCCCCCTGGCTCCCGTCCTGCTCCGTGCTCCCGGTGGTGGCCAGTGGGAAGGAGCACTCTGAAGCAGCAGAGGCATCTTTGGCAGAGGAATGGACCAGATGGTGCTCCCCAGCCCGCCAGGATCCCAAGGAGGAAAAGCTTGGCTGATGGGAGGGAGGTGAGGGGAGGGGGGACAGGGCAGGGAGGACTTCTAACTATTGTGACACCTCTCATGCAAATGAGATGCAAATCCACAAACAGAATTGTGAGATAACCAGCCTGTTTTTTTGATGAATACCCCTTGGACAGCAGTGCTGAAAGGGGAGCTGTTAGAAGCCCATCAGCTAGGGCCTGTGCTGTGGGGCAGCGGGTTAAAGTCCCAGCCTGCAGCCCCAGCATCCCATGTGGGTACCAGTTCTTTTAAAAATTCTTTTTTAAGGCCGGCACTGTGGCTCACATGGCTAATCCTCCGCCTGCGGCGCTGGCATCCCATATGGGCACTGGGTTCTAGTCCTGGTTACTCCTCTTCCAGTCCAGCTCTCTGCTGTGGCCCGGGAGGGCAGTGGAGGATGGCCCAAGTGCTTGGGCCCCTGCACCTGCATGGGAGACCAAGAAGAAGCACCTGGCTCCTGGCTTCGGATCAGTGCAGTGCACCGGCTGTAGCGGCCATTTGGGGAGTGAGCAACGGAAGGAAGACCTTCCCTCTGTCTCTCTCTCTCACTGTCTGTAACTCTACCCATCTAATAAATAAAAAAAATTTTTTTTTAATTTTTTAAAAAAGATTTATTTATTTATTTGAAAGTTAGAGTTACAGAGAGAGAGGAGAGGCAGAGAGAGAGAGAGAGAGATAGAGAGAGAGAGAGAGAGAGAGGTCTTCCATCCGCTGGTTCACTCCCCAGATGGCCACAACAGCCGGAGCTGCACACATCCGAAGCCAGGAGCCAAGAGCTTCCTCAGGGTCTCCTACATGGGTGCTGGGGCCCAAGGACTTGGGCTATCTTCTACTGCATTCCTAGGCCACAGCAGAAAACTGGATCAGAAAGGGAGCAGCTAGGACTCAAACCAGCACCCATATGGGATGCCGGCACTGCAGGCGGTGGCTTTACCCGCTACACCACAGTGCCAGCCCCAATAAAAAAATCTTAAAAAAAAAAAAAAAGAAAGAAAATAAGCCCATCAGCTGACTGCATTTCTGACTTTGCCTGTTACTTGCTTTGTGACCTTGGCCAAGTTACCTAACCTATCTGAGCTTGTTTTCCTTATTTGTAAAAGGGGCTGATAAGAGCTGCTATGTGGGCTGTGGTGAGTCCTCTGAGATAGTGATTCACACTGAGGGTATTTGGAGAGGGCTCTGATGGGGTGAGTGCAGGATGCAGGCATTGTGTGTGTGTGTGGGGGGCGATCTGCTGCTGGGGACACCGCGCCCTGGAGACCTGCCTCTTGAGCGCTGACCCGAGGTGGTGTCTCTGAGTGCACGCAAGGTTCCAAGGCCCCTTTCTGCCTCCAGGGGAGAGGTGAAGTCAAGGGGGCGAGGTGGTATTGGGGGCTTGATGGACAACAGGGTGGAGACAGCCGAAGGGGGCCAGAGGCAACAGGCAGCCCTGTTCCTGCTAGCCGTGCATCTGGGTTTCCCAGTCCTCCAACGTTGTTAGTTCTGAGCCCAGCTGTATTCCTGGGCACCCATGGGCCACACTCAGAGGGGAGTGGGGCCAGGCTTGGCAGGGGAGCCCCTGGGTACTGGCGGGCAATGCCCTGGACCTGGGGCTTCCAGCAGTGCCCACCCCGTCCTGGCAGGCAGTTCTTTCCCCTTCATCCTGGGAGTCTGTATTTTGGGAAGCTCCACCTGGGGCAGGCAGGAAGCCCTCTGAAATGGGGTGGCCCTGGGCCCACTGCCTAGTACCTCACTCTCGGGACCTGGCGGTTCTGCCTAAGGTCTGGCCCGAGTTGCTCTTGCTGCTGTTTTGTGCCTGCAGCTTGCACAGCAGGACCCATCTGAGGGTAGAGCCTTGTTCCACATGGCTGCTGTGCACATGGCCGATAAAGGAAACAGCTTCTGCTGCCCTTGGATGTTTCTGCATGAGGTCTGAGACCATTTGCAAGGCAAATGTTGAAAACGCTACCCGCAAAATAAGGTCAGCGTTCATTACTGCTGACTTTTACAAAACAGATATTCTTACACTTATTTATTTGAAAGACAGAGAGGGAGAGGGAGGGAGGGGGAGGGAGAGGGGGAGGGGGAGAGAGAGAGAGAGAGAGAGAGAGAGAGAGAGAGAGAGATATCTCCATCAGCTGGTTCATTCCTAATGCTATCAGCTGGTGCTGGGCCAAGCCAAAGCCAGTTGCCAGGAATTCACTCAATCTGGCTCACATGGTAGCCACCACCTGCCGCCTCCCAAGGTGCACATGAGCAGGGAGCTGGAATCTGGAGGGAAGCTGCGACTCAAATCCAGGCCCCCTGACATGGGCTGCGGGCATTCCAAGTGATGGCCTAACTGCTGAGCTCCTTAAAAATAGATATTGCAGGGGCCAGCGCTGTGGCCTAGTGGGTAAAGCCGCCACCTGCAGTGCCTGCATCCCATATGGGCGCCAGTTCCACACCTAGCTGTGTCACTTCTGATCCAGTTCTCTGCTGTGGCCTGAGAAAGCAGTAGAAGATGGCCCAAGTCTGTGGGCCCCTACACCCGTGTGGGAGACCCGGAGGAAGCTCCTGGCTCCTGGTTTCAGCTCCAGCCATTGCGACCATCTGGGGAATGAACCAGTGGATGGAAGACCTCTCTCTCTCTCTCTGCCTTTCCTTCTCTCTCTGTGTAACTCTGACTTTCAAATAAGTAAAAATAGATCTTTTAAAAAATAGATATTGCAAAAAATATTTTTGGCAGGCAAACTATCAGCAAACACAGAGGATTCTTCTACAGATTTGAGTTCCAATTTTTTAAAATCTGTTTTACAAAATGAGTAAAATTCCGAAACAAAACAAGGAGCACAATGAACTCTTCACCTCCCAGTCATCCACATTATAAAGATGGCGCACACGGGGAGGGGGGGGGCTTGTCCCTGGGCAGGCGGGTGCCTGGTCGCTGCCCTCGGCGACCCTGCCTGCCCACCTGGCACCATTCTCCCGTACTCTATTTCGAGAAGTCTCTGCGGGGGGGGAGGGGGGCTGCCCACCCCTCCCGGGCTCAGCCTCACTCCTGTTGATGGCTCCAGCTCTCACCTCTCCTCTGAGTTTCACCAGGGGCCCCTCCAACGCGATCCAGCGAGGTGATGTCCCAGAAGCAGCAGCCATGGAGTCCCCGGGGTCCTGCCAGATCCCTCCCGCCCTGGCAGCCTCTCCCGCCTTTGCTTTCTTGCTGCTGCCCGGCTCGCGGCCTCTCCACTGCCCACACCACAGCCTCCACTGTTCGGAGCGGCTCTCTTACATCTGGGCCTCTTCCAGCCGCCAGCACAGGCCTGTCTGTCTGTCCCTGTTCACCCCCACCCAGTGGGTCAAGCCGGGCTTGAGCGGACGCTGTGCTAGCAATAAACCCCTCTTTGCACGGGGCGCTCTGCCTGCCTGTGCCCAGGCTGCTGTCCCTCCTCCTGGGAGGGCGAGATTCACCCGGTTCTCCTGAGTCTGAGCTGAACCCCACTGCCCCAACCTTTCTTGGCTACCCCTCCCTCCCCCACCCCGTCCCCTCCACCGGCCTTCCCTTTGTCCAACCCCAAGTCTGCAGCAGCTGTGTCACTTGGGGGATCTGATTCGCCACGCTCCCCACCCCCACCCTACACCGTGCGCTCCTGGCGGTGCGGGCGCGGTCTTCTACTCTTGTCCCTCTGTGGTCCCTTTGGGCCAGGTGGCTTGCTGGCAGGCGCTCGGGGCTGGCCCCTGGCATCTGAGAATCCCATCTGTAGGTTCTGGCCAAGGAGGGCGTCCCGCTGTCAGAGTGATCTGCGCAGGGGCGGCTTCCTGAGCGAATCACAGTCCTTCCTGGGCCCCTCCAAGGGGAGGCAGGCAGAGGACGCGTCCTCGAAGGATGTGCCCGCCCTGCCTCAGGAGCCGCGCGCAGCTAGGAAGCCTGGTGCTGAGCCGGAGAAGCGACCGCCGGGCGGGCGGCAACAGCACCTGGGACATTCAACTCCTGGGTCCCGGTCCCTGAGGCCCCTCAGCCGCACCTCCAGCTCCCAGACCTAGGGAGCCTGCCTTTTTCATAGGCTCCCAGTTCGAGGAATGAAATCGTGGGAAAAATTCGAGCCGGCGCCGTGGCTCAATAGGCTAATCCTCCACCTTGCGGCGCCGGCACATCGGGTTCTAGTCCCGGTTGGGGCGCCGGATTCTGTGGGAAAAATTCGAAATGAGCAGATAAAAGCGCTCAAGGGGACAGTGAGGGAAGGGCCCGGGGCCCGGGTTGTTACTCGCAGGGTTGCAGGGCCTCACATCTCACTCCCGCCGCCTCTGCCTCCCCTGAGCTGAGCGCACGGCCCATCTTCCCGGGGCCTCGGGCAGTATCAGCAGCCTAGCAACCGTCCAGCGCTTAGCAGGTCCCTGGTCCTTTCCCAACCTTTCTCTCCCTTGAGTCTTGAGCACCCTACCTTGGAGGCAGGACAGGCTCCCTATCCCCGGCCAGAACGGGAGACCAGGACAGGAAGTGATGGCCTGGCGTAGGAGGGCTATTAACCGCACATACGTAATGGGCATTGATAATAAGAGGGACACACACATGCACACAATCTACATGGCAGTGTGAATGCATTCAGAACTTGGAAGGCAAAATTAGGAAGGCGCCAGGGGAATGTACCCCGGAGAGGAGATGGGCGAGTGTGGGAGGGGCTGGAGATGACTCCTCCCCCTTCCAAGTTCACCTTCATCTGGCTGCGCACTCATTGGCTGCAGGTGAGGGTGGTGGGAGGTAGCACCTGTAGGGGAGCGCCTGCTCGGTTGGCTGGGGGCCCGGGGGCACCCAGAAATTTCCTCAAGAGCCCACAGAAGGCAGTTCCAGAAGTGACGGAGGGGACTGGGACAGGAATCCTCCCCGACACGGCAGAGAGGCGGGTCGGTGGTGGGGGCCACCGGGAGTGAGTGCCTCTGCGAGCCGGCCTTGTGTCCCCATCTAAGGCTCCCTTTGGCCTTGGAGGGGGAGAGTGGCAGAGTGAGGACCTGCGCAGTGGACTTCCACCTCCCTGGGGCCTGCCTCACTGGCCTGTGGGTTTCACCCAGCCATGTCTCCAGCGTCACCCAAGGCCAACCCAGGAGCATGGTACCTGGGGAAAGGCCCGGCTTTCTCCCCTATTCTGTCTCCAGGACCAGAGTCCAGAGTCCTGAAGTCGTAATCAGAGGACAAAGTCCACAGCAGCTCCCAAGTCAAACCGTTCACAGGGTTAGGTGTTAGGGTGTGCTCTCTCTGTGTGCCCAAGCACAGGTAGTAAAAAGAGCTGAGCACCCCTGGATGGCCAAGGTGGTCTTCATTTTTGCATGTGCTGGTGGGTGCAGCGACATACGGCTGTGATTTATTGAGCTCCAGGTCCTCAACAGCAAGGCCACAGCAGGAGGCAGTACAGCGGCTGCTTGGGTACTCAGGATTTGTACTGTCTGGGGTCAAGTTTCCACTCTGCTCTCTAGTACCTGTGAGGTTTTGGGCAGGTGCTTTAACCCCGCTAAGTCTCAGTTTCGTTGTCTGTAGAATGGGAATGATAACTGATAGT